TCGTACTAACCATAGCTTCACACAGTCTCCTTTCGTACTAACTCCTTTCCTACTCTACTAATACTAAAACTAACATCAGCAACGCACCCGCCCGGGGTAAAAAACCCGGGATCGCCTCTTCCCCCCGCTCGATTTCGTCAAGGATCGAGCGGGCTTCGCTATCTTCTACCTGCCATCTTTCTCCCCCTTCGTCACTCCTCCATCCCAACTTTCACATGCACCTGGCTCAAAACCCCGTCCAAATCCATCCGCTCTTTCTTCCTTCCTTGTGTGCGCCTCACCGGCCTACCGCCCGACGCCCTTCGTCTCTCTCATTCCTCGCATGCACCCGGCGCCAGATCCCGCCCCGATTCATTCATCCATTTTTGCCACTCTGCCTCTGCACCCGTCGCCCTGATGTGCCAGCGCTCCAACTCCTACCCACAGTCGGATAGTATCCTACTGGCAGCCTTAGTGCTCGTTCGCAAGTCGTTCGCAGAGCGCCGTCCGACCGCGCCAGCTGTTTCTAATGGAAACTTCGGAGGGAACCAACTACTAGACGGTTCGATTAGTCTTTCGCCCCTATACCCAAGTCCGACGAGGTAGTCGGCACGGCAGCGTTGCTGTTGCCTGMTCCYGCCGGGTTTTGCCCATCCGCTTCGCATGTACCTGCGGCAGAACCCCGGACAGGTTCATTCGCCGCAGTGCCACCTGCCCTTTTTCCCAGTCGCCTGCTGTTGGTACAATGCCGTACGCTATGCCCATTCGCTCCGCTACCTTGGCACTCCCGTCGGCCTCTGCCTCCGCAGCTCCCCGTCGCTCCCCTGCTCTTGCCACTGTCCACCCGTCTCCCTCAGCACAACGTGGCCCGACARCATTCGGCCCTTCAAGCCTCTCACAGTCGGCCCCKCCSCAACTTTATACGCGCCGCCCGCGCGTCGGGGCCGTGCTACTCTCCTCTGTATCCGAGTCAACAGGCGACTCAGGATACTTGGTTTCACTCAGCAACCAAGTTCCGTCACCCGGATTCAGACACGGGTCTGTATTTCCACATCTCGTGGGTGTCCCCTCTTTGTTTTCGCGTCCACATACAGGCGCGATACTAATAATACTAGATAAAATTAAAAAAAAATATATATATATATATATATATATATATATTTATACATAAAAGAAAGCAAAATGGTAGTTGAGCAGGGACCTCGGCACCCCTCTTAGCCTGCCCGTCATCCCCACGCCCGGCCCCGCGGCCGTAAGAAGGCGAGGGGGATAGTCCCGCAGGCCCATCAACCCCTCAAGCCTTTTCGCCCCGCTCCTCCGTCCCTTGCCGCATATTGTTGGCCTCGATCCCTGCGTCTTCTGTGTACCAGTCCGGTRCTGTAACCTATAGGGCTAAGCCCAAGCCTGGTACCAAGAGGCCTGAGTTGCCTAATAAAGAGGTAGCCCCCGGCCTTTGGAGCCAAGGAACCGCCCCACACGAACTTCCTAACCCGTACTCACTCACACGACCACAAAAGTCCGTGCTGACTTCCCGACCGCGGCGTGGCCATCCTTACCCGGCGGAATCCATCAAATCCCATCTTCTAGATTCCGCGTGCCCTCCCACCGGCTCACTGAACTGTCCACCGTACCCCGCGGAACCAGAGAACAACACGCTCATAGGTAGTCAGTTTAATCAAACAGAAATGACATGCGTCGACCAAAATTCACGCCACGTCTGTTATTTGTAATCAAAATTAAGGGGAAAAATCATGCGCGCCTCAACTTGCGCGCCCATTCACCCTCTAATCTGGCCAAGTGTTTGGCCACCGCAGCCTTCAGACATCGCTGCGCCTTGCGCAGCATACTCGAACTCTTTGACTTAGCTTGTTTTATGTCGCTTGTAAAAACCACGGCGGATACCCTTGTAAGGGTATTCGCGCCGACAGCTTACCAGACCATAKTAAGCGACGTCCCCGTCGCTTCACAAGATCAAAAGTTATCAGTTCAACCACAACCCCAAAAATGCTGACGAGCAGGGTAGCAATCCGATTAACCGACAGACCCAGGGTAGAGGCCTCCAATAATCCATGCGAAACACAACTTTACGCTGCCAGGATTCCAACATGGGTTTCCGCCATCCTAACACTAGGACGTCGGGGTACTCCTCACTGTACTACAGCATAAGTTCCACTGGATCTCTCACTGTCCTCTTCCCTGTGCCCTAGACAACCGCCGACTCCTCGTTGTGGGCCCCCAGCCCTTCCCCTGAAACCAAGGTCGTGACTAGGGGCGCGGGCCCTTACCGAGACCTTTGAAGGCATTCTCTCGCCGTCCTCTAAAAAATCTTTACATTAAGCACACGTAAACATACCCCATAAATCTCCACATAAACCTCCCTGCAGTCTAGAACAGGCAGACAAGGTCTCTATCTTGGCCCACCATAGTCTGGGTGATCATTCCAGATCTACGACCCACCTCATTGGTATTTCGGTGGCAGTGCCTTCGCGGGTTGCGCTATGATAGGCTATTCCTGATAAACATTCAATCAGGACTTCCTCAAAAAGACTCATATGACTCGACTCTTATCCCACGCCTCTCCGCAGGAGTAAAACCCTCCTAGGTGTTCACGCCCCTTTAAATCTTTACTCCCTTGGCCAGACGCATACCCTCTGCTCAGGTTGTGCCAAACAACGGCCAACACTAAGGGTTGCGCCTTAGTGATGCCAGCTATACCCCTAGTTGGGTCTCTTATAAATGTCCAAGATTAGCACAAGCGGTTGGACGGTGTGTCGCAACAATACAAGCCTACTGCGGGACTACGCATAAACCTGTCGCACATAAAGGTATTTACCAGTCCCTCTGTGGGACAACACAGAGGGAGCACGGCAACCTCTCCATAATCGCAAAACAAAATCACCGCCTGACTCACAAGGCCGTGGCCTCCCAGCTTGATCAGAGCAAGAAAGTCACACATCTCGATGACATCCCTCAAAATGGACCACTTGCGACATCCAAAAATTCCACCAATAACCAGACAAAATTTTTGGTCTCTCTCGTCAATCTTTTAGCACTCAAAATAATCTTTCATTTAACTATCTTTTATATAAAGGAGCTTTCTCTTCAATAGGTCTTTGTTAGCCATCCTTTTCTTACTATGATGGATTCTTCCATGATCTGAATCCAGCACATCTTCCCTTTCTGAAGATGAGTCATTCAATCAAACAATGGACTACCTTCTCATTCAGAGGTGTCCCAACCCTAATACAATTCATATGAGGAGACCAACTCCCGGGTCTTTTGCACAATTCAAATAACAAAACATTCACTATGAATATTCGAGATCTTCACATCTCTTTTTCACAAATACGAATTGCACAGTCTCCCCTTATACCCTGCCTCATCTTTTGCCCAAGTGCAGATCACACAAATATACTGAGGAGTAGACAGTTTGCTTCCAATCACATTCACAATACATATGGCAAATGAGGTGTTTCTCACACATTGTCCACACAAACCCATCATACATCAGAGTACAACCTCACATGTGAGAGAGATAAGTGATTGTCACATATAAAGAATAGTCCCTGAAAAAACCTCATCATAATATACACTCAGGAATAAAATGTCTTACACAGAAAGTGTCTCCAAGTCATAGCTCACTCAGCTCAAGCCACATCAAACTCACACTGACAACTATCCCTAAAATATATGTCAGGTCTGTCTCTCAAAGGCCAGGGTGTAGGCCACCTAAATATATACATGCCTCATCTAGATCACCCTGATCCTCAAAATCCCAGCTTAATAGGAACGCAAGAGTTCAAATCTAGACTATTAACAATCGTCAAAAGGTCCTCCAAGTCTAAGAGGATATCACACAGAGCCTAAGCTGATGCCTCACAAGATATCCAACCAATTACATAGGCAAACCAGCCCTACTTCCTGATCTCCTCCTGGTTTTGCCAATATAACTGAGCCCTAATTCCATYTGCGGACTTCTCTACCATCCTACCTTGTCTATCGTACATCTTACCCTCTGCCTCTTAGACCTTCCCTTCTGCCTTATCCTCAAGGAACTSGAGACAATCCAGAGTTTGATGCACGCCCCCCTTGCAGTAGAAGCATAGCTGATCAAGCTTCCTCCTGAACTTCTTCTTCTTGGGCTGAGGAGGTGGCGATGAAGGAGATCCTACCATAGTGCTGACAACCCCCTGCTGCTCTGATCGAGGGGCTGCAGTACTAACAACCTCCTGCTCCTCTATCCCAGGAACCGGTCCCCCAGACCCAGATCCAGTAGCCGAAGATCCCWGTCTGCTCCTTAAATCCCCTGTCGCTGGGACGCACTCAGGCGCGTCCAACCTCTGAGGTCTCCTCTCGAGCATCTCTCCTRGCACCACCATGGGCTGCTCCTTATGGCTCATACTCAGGCGTGCCCAACCTCTGGAGCCCGCCCTCGATGACACGCTCTGCCTCAATCCCCATCTCTCTCTCAAGAGGCTCCTCTATCCTCTGCTCAGGTGAAAACAAACTCGCCTCCTCYTGCATAGTATGCACTGCCTCAAGGAGCACGCCCATGGATCCCTCTGCTGAGCCTTGAGCCGGCTCACTGCTAGATGGTGGTAGCCCCTCCTCAACTGCCAAAGGTACCACTAGGCCCGCCGCTGCTGGAGGCAGCGTCGTGAGCTCGGTAGGGGCTCTGAACTCGAAGGCCTCTCTYTCCRCCTCCCTTTGGGCTCTCGCCTCCTCTGGCTCCAGGATAACTCTCCCCATAGGTGGCTCCCGGCRAGGCCCTGCTGCAGATAGCTGTCCTGGCAAACCCTGTCCTGGCTRTCTCTGCTCTCTCTGTCGGCTGCTCTCTGGCTTGTCCACCTTTCCCTRAGATTGCTGCCTCAGGCTCTCGATGATAGCTGCCTGACTGGCCACCARTGCCTTCAGTTCCTGGATTTCCACCTCGATAGCSTCCTRGCGTACTCCATGACCTTCATCCTTTGTTTTCTTCCCCGCCAGATCGCTCTCYWATAACAAAAGTCAGYCAAAAGTTGTCTTGGCCAGGAACTTGATTTTGCGATCCAATCTTTCTTCCGCCTTTCTTGCTATCCCAAACCCGGCTCTGATTGGCGAAGGAAGCTCCTCTCCTCTCTGTTCCTAAAAGTCCCTCCACATCTCTGGGATTTCCGGGGCCTTAGCTGGCGCGCTGGGTGGCTGACCTGGGAGCGCTTCTGCTGCCTCCGATCTTTGCCTTTCCTACTGCTGTTCCGGAAGTGCCCCCTCCGCCTCCAACCTCTGCCTCTCTTGCCATATCTCTTCTATCCTCCTGGTCCTTGTCGCCCTCTTTTCTTCAACTGTTTCTCCAGCTGGCGCCCTCTCCCTCGTGTGGAGGTCGACCCTCTTCGGGATCTCTGCCTCCACCTCCTTCTCGGGCTGCTCCTGGCGAGGCTCTGCAGGTGCTGGCTCCGCCAGGTCTGGGTGCTCCAGGGCATGAGGTGCTAGATGYCTGTCAATCAGRGTCAAGGCCTCTCTCCTTACAGCTGCMTTCTCTCTCCTTCTTTCTGCTYTTCCTTCGGGCGAAGGAGCTTTTTCTGATGAAGGCAATGGAGCCTCCTCTCCCTGCAAACCCTCTCCTGCCTGGCGAGTGCTMCCTGGTGCATCCCCRAGTCTCAAACCCACCACAAGCRTCTGAGGGGGCTTGTCCTCCTCAACCATTATCACTTCCTTCCCTGCACGTCTCCCCTCATCGCCCAACCCTCTCTCTYGCTGAGTATCCTGGACCTCCTCCTGTGGCACCTCCTCTCGTGGCACCGCCTCTGCCTGCTTTCCATGCTCCTCACCCTGAGGCGACGCTCTCCACCGAGAGATGTCCAAATGCACCTCCAACTCCCTCAAGGGCCCCTCASACGTTGGCGGCTCCTCCTGTGTGCATGCTGGCGACCTCCTCAGTCCACCMTCGGTAAACYGATGGAACTCCACTGATCCTGGTCCATACTYAGGATACGCTYCTYGCTCCTCATCCTCGGRCTCTKACTCCTCCTCTCTTYTARTTATGGCCTTCCGTCCTCCTCGAGATGGTCTCGCCTCCCTGGGCTCAGGGCCCCTYTGCCTCTGACTCCTCTCACGCCTCTCAACTCTRGGYTGAGGGGGCTCTSGCCGTCGAAAGGACTCTCTCAGATGTGCCCTGCAACTCTCTCAGTCCCGGGCCATGTCTCTGACGTGCCTAGCCAGTGGTCTTTCCGCCTTCCTGGTCCAGAGTGGTAGTGTCTGCATCCAATCGTCTCTCGGTATACCTTGCCCCTGCATGAACCACTCAAAGGCGGGGATGAAGTCCGACGCATTCCCGATCTCCAGGCGGATCGGCCCGCCATCAGGTCCTACAGGCGAGGGTCGCAACTCCTGCATCCTCAACTCCACCTCTAACCTCGTCGTCGCCTCCCTACGGATCCGCGCGACGGACTCCTCGATTTTGCCGACTCGTCTCAACCTCTCAATCCCCTGGGTCACGGTCCAGCCCATACGCCGCGCATGCTCCCAGGAGTTTTCCAGGAATAGCTCGATGTCGTCACCATCGTACTCTGGAGTGCTCTCCCTATGGTGAGGCCCATGCCGCTCATATCCTCCTGATGCGCCCAACGGCCTCCGAGGCGGCCGTGTCCCCTTCCCTCCTCTTGGCACGGCTGTCTTCGTAAAGTTAGACCTGCACAACAGGCGAAGGAGACAACAGGCGAAGGAGATAACAGACACACATTGGGGTAAGCAAACAGGTGATAATCAAAGCAAGCTCATACCAGACCACACTCATGCAGCATGCATCCTATCTGACCTACATACCCTATCGCTTCTATTCTAAAGGCAGTCAGATCATCCCTTCTACCTCTTCTCTCGCCACAAATTTCTTCAATCGCGTTCGAGATATCCAATCCTTCCACTCAGTCTCATTTAGCTCCTGAATCTGGTACGCTCCGAAGTCTCCGACCCGTACGATCTGGTAGGGACCTAACCACCTCTTATCGAGTTTTCTGGACCACTGCTTCTCCAGCGATGAATCGTAGAGAAGCACAACGTCCCCAACTGCCAAGGGCAGTTTCCTCACCCACGCAGACTTATCCCATCGAGCCTTATCATCCATACGGCTTCTCGCCACCTGATCAGATGCCTCATGGATTTTATCGCCCCTATCTGTCGCGCCCGAATATCGAGCAATTCGTTAAATGATAGGCTAACTTCCAGATCCTGGCGCCTCCATGTCTTAAGAAAGCTCTCGATAGGGAAGGTGGCGTGCCTTCAATACCACAGCGTTGCAGGTGCGTATTCGGTGGATCTTTTTACTGTAATCTTATCGACAAAGAACAACGCCCTTAGATACATTGGCCATTGATTAGGCCTACCTTCGGTCTACTTAGCCAGGAGGCTCGTAATGGTACTATGTCCTCTCTCCACGGGAGCATTTGCCTAGGGGTGCGCGACCGTGGTGTAGTTGGCTGCTACACCGTACCTTGATAACAATTCTTGCACCTCCTGCCAGGTAAATTCCGATTCCCTGTCCATTACGAATTCCCTGACGAAAGGATAGCGCAGATAGTACTCCTCGATGCAGCTCACCAAGACTGGCCCGATCTTTGTGCGAATAGCACGCCCGTCTACGAAGCCAGACAGGTTATCGCGCGCATCGAAGATATAGTTATAGCCCTGATCCCCAAGTGACATGAAAAGTAGATCGAAATGCACTACAGCCCCCACCTCTCGCTCTAGCCTTAGATGCAGCGACTCTCCTTGCCTTAAACGGAATCTCTCCTGGCAGGGTACGCAAGATCGGCACAACTTCCCGACCATGTCCATCATCCCATCCCAGTAGTACAACTCACTTATTTTGGCATACGTAGCTTGTACCCCTCGATGCCCTCCTGAAATACCGTCATGGAGCGCTGCTATGACGTCAATCTGACGGTCCCTACCGCAGACGACTCTCCTTGGATTCCCCACTTCTCTCCTTACGAAAAGGTGGTCGTCTCCCACTAAGCAGCGTTGCAGCATTCTCTGGACCCTATCGCTCGCATCCCTTAGCCGCATTCTCGTTATACTCCTCTGCACGAAAGACCTCTTTAATTTCCCCCTCCTCGAACTCGTCGTTCTCGCTCTCGGACACTTCGTCCACATTCCGCGCTGGGTTCAACGAGTCTAACTGGCTGAGGCTTTCCTGCAATAACGTGTTGACGAAGAGATACATTCCTCCCATCAGGTCCTCATGTCGTTCTACCTGTCCAGGTCCTTCCTCGATCGTCCTCATGTCCTCCACCAGACTATGCGAACTAGCCAGCGCTAACTCCATCATCCCTTGAACATCCTTACGACCCCAGGGATCCTCTTCTTCAAAGGGTTTAAGGACTAGCTCGGCCCCCCTTTCATACACATTCGGCGTTTGCCAGATAAGACAACCTACACATCTGGGTACTCGCGACGACCACTTATTGATATGGAGACGAACATCTTCCTCCTGATCCATAAATCCATCGACTGGGGGCATGTTCTCCATCGCATCCCCTTCCTGTTTATCCTAGTTGATCCGACTCAGCCCGTCTACCCGGTTCTTACCGCCAGGAATCCGCTCCAACTCGAAATTAAACTCCCCCTAAGGCAGTCGGCCCCGCATCCGTTTCGACAATGAAGGGTTGCTTCTCCGTGGCATGATAATCTGGCGCTCCCAATACCAACCCTCCTTCTCGAAATTCCTCCTTCATCCTAGCCACAACCTCTTCTTGCTCTTCACCCCAAACCCATTCCTGGCCCTACCGAACTAACTTTCTCAGGTGTTCAGTCGTAGCGGCAAAGTTCTTGATGAAGACCCTCAAAAATCCACACGTACCAAGGAAGCTCCTGACATCAGTTATTGAGTGGAGCGGAACTGGCCACTCAGTAATCTTGTCCGTCTTTTTCACATCCGACCTTCGGCCCTTCTCGCTGCAGACGAACCCCAAGATAGTCGCTTCCCTCATGCAGTGTCTGGATTTGGCCCCGCTCGCTGTGAGGTTATGCTCCTCGAGCAGGCTCAGGACCTTTTCGAAGTCCTGGATGTGCTTCCAAACAAAACGCCTTACCCATGACAGGAATTCGTTGCTCTCCTTCACTGTCGTTCCCTTCACCGCCAAATCGTCGATGTATGGTTGTATGATATGGGGGCTGACTGACTGCATAGCCCGAATCATGGCCCGTTGGACCATTGCTACCGCGTTGGTCCACCCTTGTGGGGCCACGTTCATGTGGATTACTCCTCGCGGCGTGTGCATAGCCGTTACCGGCCTGTCCGGCGGATAGACCGGGAACTGATCATATCCTGAGTAAAGGTCTATAAGTGAGATTATAGGCCTTCCAGCACAGGACTCTGACAGAGCGTCCGCATTTGGCAGTCCTCCAGCATCCCGCACGGTCACCGCATTTAACCTCTGCAAATCTTGCACCCATCCCAGCGTCCCGTTAGGCTTAATGAAGCAAAACCACGGGGGCGCATACGGTCCACTCGAATAGTCGGCGACGTGBGTACGTATCTTGCCGTCGAGGTAATCCACCACCTTCTTTTCCTCGTCAGGATTAGGATATCGCGCCCCTCTCATGTTCCAAGGCTCGTGTGGTATGGTCTGGATGCGGATCATACGTATCTTGTCCACATCCAGCCTGCCACGCTCCTCGTCGCTAAACGCATAGGTGCGATGCCTCCTCTTCACCAACTCTACCATCAACGTTCGCTCCTGAGGCAGCAGGAAGTCGGGTTCCCCTAT